TCCATTATTTTTTGTTTTGTTTTATGCAGAGGTGGAAAGAGTACTAAAAATTAGTAACTGAGTAAAAGTATCTTTACTTTGCCTAAATTCTACTCAGAGTAAAAGTAAAATTATCCATCTCAAAATTTACTCAAGTAAAAGTACAAAAATTACTTCATTTAAAATGTAATTTGAGTAAAAATTACTTAGTTACTTTGAGTTATTTAATGTAAAAAAAAGGAAAAGTCATGAATCGAATTGAGCACAAGGTGTTTTAATCGATTTTAAGTGGAAATCCACACCTGCAAAAGATCAGCTGGGCTAAAGAACAAACTTCCTCACAGCACAAGGACAGTCACTACCTGAACCATAAAGTGCAAACTATTTTCTATCCTACTGTCCAACAGACACCATGATAGGAATAAAGAAATTTAAACTACATTTTAAAGTTTTCAAAATGCACACAAAATTAAACGCCCAAAAGATTCCAGAAATCAAACTAAAACGCAACAGGATGCCGCTGTTATTAACAAGCTCCTCATTTAATGATTTTTTACTGACGCTCGTTTTTATATCAATTGTTTATATGTTTGAATTGTGTAAATAAAGTGCTGTTAAAAGTCAAAAGTCTTCTTCTGTTTTTTAATGGCGATTAAGTATCGGTTCCGTGAAACAGGGGTTTAAATTTCCGGCCGTATTTAATTTTTTAGCCATCAGTATTTTATTATTTTTTCTACTCAGTAACGTGAGGGGGTTTTAAATGTAGCGAAATAAAACTACTTAGGTTAAAATTTACTCGAGTTAAAGTAAAAATTACATATTTCAAAAACTACTCATAAAACGTACTCAATTACAGTAACGTGAGTAAATGTAATTCGTTACTTTCCACCCCTGGTTTGTGACGCTATTGGACCACAGAAAACCCAGATTTACCTTAAAGTCTCAGAAGGACAAAAACTAAACCTTTACATGAAATTATGTTTTGATTTTATAAAGTGTTTATTATTTTTTTGTTGTTGTTGGCATCCATATAAATTAAGTGTATTTATCCTTATTTTAAGTAGGTAAATGAGGTAGTTTACCAATGGAATGAGTATTTTTACTCTTAAAATAAGATAATTAGATAAAATGCACATGAAATAAAACAATGTAATTGTGTTTTCTTATTTTAAATCTAAATCGTCGTGTTCCGTTGGCAAAATGTCTCCTTTACCTCCTCAATTCAAGAACAAATGCATTTATTTCAAGAAAAGATTTAGGGATGCACGATATTGGGATTTTGGCCGATATCCGATATGCCGATATTTTAAAACTCATGTATCCGATAACCGATATCGATACCGATGTTAAAGCTGGACAAAAATAAGTAGTCATTGAAAAT